GTGTGTAACACACACACACACACACACACACACACACACACACACACAATGGAATACTACTCAGCCCTAAAAAAGAATAAGATAATGCCATTTGCAGCAACATGGATGGACCTGGAGATTGTCATTCTAAGTGAAGTAAGCCAAAAAGAGAAAGAAAAATACCATGTGAGATCACTCATGTGTGGAATCTAAAAACAGGACATACGAACATACAACAAAACAGAAACAGACTCACAGACATAGAGAACAAACTTATGGTTACCGGGGGGAAGAGAGGTGGGAAGGGATAACTGGGGAGTTTGAACATTTCACCTTTAACCCTGTCTCGATTGTGGCGGTGGTTTCATGGGTGTGCATTTCTGTCAGAATTCATCAGATTGTGCACCTAACACGTGTGTAGTTTACTGTACGGGAACCACACCACAGTAAAGGTGGTAAAAAATAAAAATTAAAAAAAGAAAACAACTGAAATACGAAGAGTGCCCACATCACAGGATAAATGGGTCCAACCAGACATGTAAGTCCCTGAACCTGCTGTCTAGTTAGTACGCGGTGAGCTCTCAAAGTGAGTCATCACAGCATCTTAGAACATGGAAAATATTCAAACTCTTTAGGCAAAATTAGTTTTACACTAGTAAGAACATGACAACTCTAACGTTGTCAAAGCAGCAGCGTGTACATGCCGTGTGCATAGAAATACATCACCAGCTGTGCCTCAGTTAAAAAAAAAATCACTGGAATGTCAAAAGCAACCATCAGAACAGTGAAATTGTTAGTGTATTTTTAATTTTCTTGTTATATTTTATTCACTTTTTAAAATCATGCAAACATGCATACAGATTAATTTATAGTTGGAGAATGTAGATATATCCTCGGGGCTGTTTGCTAGGATATTAATCAGATGAATTCTGTGTGCAATAAAGTGTGGCAAGATTGATGTGAAACTTAATCTCTTAATGTTTGTGCCTTAAATTAGATGAATGTATTTGTTGTTCTAATATAGTTGAAAGTATACACAAAACATTCACATGAAAGTATCACTGTAAATGATCGCTTCATAATCATTTGAAAGCCAGTCAGCGTTAACTCATCCTTTCCAGCGTTCCTGTCTGCTTTACGCGTACGTAGGCATCTCAGTGACGGCACTTGCTGTTGTCATTTACATCTTTGAGTCCCTTCCTGTAACACCAGATGCAGTGCTGGAGTTTCAGGGCCAGTCAGTACATGTGTGACTTTGGGACAAGAAGTGGTAAAGTACTGAAATGTATTTTGTCTTGAAAAGTATTCAGATTATAGTAGGAATGCGGCACTAGAGAGGGAAATAGGAATTACAGGAAAAAGGGCCCATTGTTAGAATCAGAAGGAAAATAGTAAACAATTACCCCACACCCCTTTTTCTCAAAGAATGATGACATCCATTTGTACCAAATAAATGAAATTACATATATGTTCTTTTTTAAAGGTCTCTGTATTTTAGATCCTGGACTTTCTTAAACGGCTCCTTAAGCCACTGAATAAACTGTATTGCTGTCACTGCTCTAAATGACAGAGTGTCTCTCCATTGCAGTTACACATGGCATGTGCAAGTGGCTACAAGGAGGTGGTGTCTCTTCTCCTGGAACATGGCGGAGACCTCAACATAGTAGACAATCAGTACTGGACCCCGCTCCACCTGGCAGCAAAGTATGGCCAGGTAAAACCAGGCCCTGAATTATTTTAAAAAATCATTTTATGGTCAATGCGTCATTTCATATTTAGTTTTTGATTTTTCCTTCAAATCGTGCACTAACACTAATGTAATTTGACTTTTAATGGAGTCTTCTTACTAAACAAATATGTTTATGGTTGAAAGAAAACATTTACTTTTAGAAGGACACATAGCTCTGCATAATAGTCAAAATCACTGGAGAAGTGGGGGTATAAATCAGTGAAGGAGCGTGTGTTTAGCGTGCATGAGGTCCTGGGCTCAATCCCCAGTACCTCCATTCAAACAAACAAACAGACAAACCTGATTACCTACCCCCCAAATTAAAAAAAAATCATTGGAGAAATAATCAAGACATAAACATTCTTTAGAGAATGGACTTAATACTCTTTTCTTAACATTATGTAGCCCTTACAAACTTCTAGTTTCCTGAGTCTGTAATAACTGTGTTTGTTTTCTACAGTCAGTGGATGTAACACAAACTAACATTTTATATTTTATTTTCCCTATAAATTGTATTTCATTTTAATGAATAAAGGGTGGGTAGCAGAGTTATTTCTCTGAATTGATGCTTGGCTGTAGCTAATACAGCTTGAGTTTCTGTGGCACGAGCTAATTTCTCACTAGGTACTATTATGCCATGAAGAAGAAGCAAATTTTAACTTTTAAATAATTCATATGGGTGCATGTGATCAATCAGTACTCATAGTAATTTATAATAGTAAAATTAATTTAAGAAAATATGTGATTTATTGTGTTAGAGAAAGTCTTGGTAGTATAAAATAGAACTGTTTTACATGTATATGGAGACGTAAGCTAAACCTGTTGCTGTCCAGACATTAGTTTCGGGTAACAGTCAGACTCACCGAGTTTGTAGTCAGCTACATCCCTTAGATCCTAACCAGTATGCAAAATACCTATCATAAAATTTGAATAGTGCAATTGTTGGAGAAACTGAAAGCATTTGCATCTCAAGCATTTTAGGAAAAACATATTGCTTGGGAAGGTCTTCCAAACTGACAGGAACACTGCTTTGACAACATGTCCTGTAGAAAAAGATTCTTTCATTCAGTTAATACTTTCAGCAGGCTCTTAGCAGTCCCCTGGCTGTGCTTCTAGAAGGTGAGTGTGCGTGTGAGTGAGTGGTGGGGTAAGGGGGCGAGTCTGCAGGTAGCTGAAGTCGCTGTCCTCAGGAGTCCAGGTGTCCCAGGTCTCACTAGGTCACAGGAGTGCTGGGGGTCACGAGTACACCGCCAGTACGTCGGTGCCCCATTTCCAGCACGGCACCATCCCGGGGTACCCTGGGTTTTGTCGTTATTGAAAAATTGAGAAGCAAACACATGAGCAAGTAGTGATTCCTCAGACACAACCTGCAGGCCTGCGCTGAAGAAGCGGTCATCAGCGACTGGCCAGAACGCGCCCGCTCTGGTCGGGGACTGCCCCCGGGACGGGCCCAACCGGCAGGCGGTAAACTGTAGCGGGACACTACCCAGACCTGAACGGACCATTTAGCCCAAGTTTCTGCCTTAGTGACTGGACTCTTAGATTTTGGATCAGGCATCTTTTCAAAGAGCAACACGTTGGTTCCCTTTAACCACTTTCAGAGATAATAAACTCTGGGGAATAGGACTTAGATTTAATAAAAACTTCATAAAGACATGACTTGGATTAAATATGTCACTGCTTCTATTATTCGATTTTTATCAGAAGCCAGTGTATGTTTTTTGTTTTTATTTGCCTGCAGGTCAAATGAAACATTTCATATGAGTTAGTGTATTTTACTTGCTCTGGTATTTGTCAGTTCTGTGGTTTCCATTTGGCTCTTTCTTATATAACAACTCTTACACCTTCTGTGTTTGAAGAGGTTCTATTTTATCATTTGTTTAAAGAGAATTTGTAATTGCTTGTTGAAGCCTTCCTATGACGGCTGCTTTAAAATCATCATCAGATAATGTCAGCATGATTCATCTTGCTGTCCCAGACACCCCTCCCACACCGGCACACCTGTATTCACTCTGCTCATCCCAGTGACTTCGCCAGCTTTGTGTGAGGGCCCCCCGGCCTCCTCCCTGGCTCTGCGCACGAGCCCTGGCTGTGCGTCTCACAAGGCCCCTGGTTCTCCCTCCACAGAGCCTGGCCTTGGGTCTTGCATCAATGAGAGCCATCAGCCTCTGTGACAAGAGGGTTTTTACCAGGCCTGGAAGCTCATTAAGAACATGGTGATGACGGCATCAGACTCCTGTTGAACATCAGTGGTCACATGTCCAGGTCGAATGACTCAGCTCCTGGGTCTGATGTCCAACAGATGTCCAACAGAGCTTTGCAGAAATGGCTGCTAAGAGTGTGCAAACGAGGCGTATTTAAAAAAATAATCTCACCTTTATCCTCTGCTTTCCTATTTTCTAAATCCTTAAATATTTTAGTACCAAGGATAGAGTCTGAAGATCATACATCTTTTTCCATTTTGCTCCATTAAACCTGCTGGAAAGGGGTGCCCACCAGAACATAAGCTCCAGCACAGCAGGGACTTCATTTGTGTGGTGCACGGTGCTGTCCTGGTTCCCAGTGAAACAGATGAAGGAACCAAATGGACAAACTGATCAGCCAAGACCTAGAAATTAAGCTCTAACACGGAGAGGTAGAGTGAGGCTTTTTCTACTTGAATCCATGACACCAAATCTGAAATATTCACCCTTGATTTAGACGAAACAAACAACTGATTTATGTCAATAGGGGATTTTGAGTAAATTATATCTTGATTATTCTGTCAAGAAAATACCATACGATGTCTGGAATTATTTTAAAAAATTGTTCACCCATAAAAACACCACTTAAAATTCATTTGGGGAAATGATATTTTAGAAACAGGTATAATTTGAAAATCAGTTCATGTGCATGGAAGATTTATAAATCTCTAAAGAAGTTTGCTATAAATAAATATGTTTCAGTTCAGGAGGAAAAAAGCCTTTAGAAATGCTAACATTTTAGAGGAACTAATGGCATTTTTACAGACACTCATAGCATTTCACTTTCTTATACATGTCTTACAAATATAAACACCCTTATGGAGAAGGCAGTGCATAATCTATAACAATGTTTATAATCGCTTATAACAATGTTTATAACAATGTTTATAATTGGCAAATATTGGCAAATATGGGATGACATACATATTTTAGAACTTGCCTTTATAAATGTAATAACTTCTCTAGTGAAAAGGAAGAGATGCCTGTTCTAGTCTAAAACAGAACTAAGTTCTGTGAGCAGTAAGTCGTTTGATTTTACAATTTTTATGAATTGTACGTAAAGTAAAATTTGCTTCTAGCCCTGTACATATTTTTAGTGTTTATAATAGGATTGGTGATACCTACAACAAAAGAAAATAACGGTACAAATGCTAGAATCTAAATCTTTCCTTCAGAAGTATCTTGTGCCACACAACCTAGATATCCCAACGCTCAAACGAGTTGTTTTTATTCTCAAGTGCATTTTACCCAAGTACGTAAGGCTTGAGATCTATTCAGCTTTTTTTTTCTTTAGATATTTCTTCTTCCATTGGAAAACAAGTAAAACCACTCTCTGGTTCCCCCATCCCTCTGAGCGTAAAACATCGATGAGCTCAGTGTTCTGTCCTGGGCCGTCTCTCTTCTCGGTGTTTACAATCTGTGGGGGATCTCACACCTGCAGCTTCAAACACTCTGCATGAGCCGCGCCCCCAGAGCCTTCCTTCCCTTCTCGGTCAAGTTGCAGACCCATGAGGACCACTGCCCAGAGGGTGACCTCTCTCAGCCTGCCCTCAGATTCAGCTCCTGTGCAGAGGGAATTAACGCCTTCTTCTCCCCACCCCCCGTCTGCTGCCCCGTCTGTGTCTCATAGTTCACTCATCACAAAACTAGGCGGTAGCCTCTTTCTG